CACACCCACACCCACACCCACACCCACACCCACACCCACACCAACACCCACACCCACACCCACACACACCCACACCCACACCCACACCCACACCCACACCCACCCCACACCCAAATGTCACACAACAGACACAAATCAGTTATGTCGGTCATTCACAGGGTACTCTGATTGGTTTTGCTCAATTTGGAGGTTTGAGTAATATTGTTCAAAATAATGTTAGTTTTTTTGGTGCTCTGGCTCCTGTTGCTCATATAACACATATAAAATCACCATTAAAACATTTATTCAATACTCTAATGGGTCCTGAAAGTTTTTGGCACTTGTTATTTGGTAATAAAGAGTTTCTTGCATCATCAAATAGTATCAAATGGTTGGCAAAACATGCATGTGGAAATATTATATTGAATCCATTGATTTGTGAAAATGTTCTATTTATTTTATGTGGACCAGACAACAAAAATCTGAATGCTACACGAACGGAAGTTTATATATCACATGAACCGGATGGAACATCTGTAAAAAATATGATTCATTTTGCACAAATGTTTCTTTCAAAACAATTTCAAGCATATGATTACGGTTCAGCAGATAAAAATCGATTACATTACAATCAAACAACTCCACCAATATATTCTATTCGTCCAATGAAAGTACCAACAGCGATATTTTCGTCAGGTGAAGATTGGCTAGCTGATCCGGAAGATGTTGCTTTTATTTTGGATAATATCCAGAATTTAGTCTATAAGAAATATATACCAGATTATAATCATCTTGATTTTGTATGGGCTCTAACGGCAAATAAAGTTATCTATCAAGATTTAATTAATCAAATGCAAAAATATCATCCGTCAAAATAAGTTTTTTTTTCTACGAACTTTTTTGTCCTATTTTTGAATAAATTATTTAGTGCATACCAAAAGTGGTTATGCCCATACAATAAAATCTTACATAAGGCTCGAGAAAACTTTCTTTCTATATATATATATATGTATATACTGATAGCTCAAGTCATGCTTTATATGTAATTCTATAATATTTGATCATTTTTACGAGTAATGTTATGATAACAAAATTTCGATGTATTAAAGTTTGCTGGCAACTTTTACGAATTTTCATCTTAAGAATATGCCACAACTAACTATACACACGCAAAAAACAACTAAGACAAAATGCTATTTATGTGTGTAAATACGGCTAGATATCAGAAGAGATAGAAAAAAGAAGAACAGAAAAAAATATATACGTCGAAGACAATATAGCTTAATGTTTTCAACATACATCATAATATGATCAAAACTATTAACCTCTGTTTTCAATGGACAAAGAACACTTTCGCTTCTATATTAAAGTGTGTACGTCACTTCATAATGAACTATACTCTGTCTTCGATGATCAAGCTTCACCTGTCAGAACGGTTCAAAGATGATCAAGATGCTTTCGTGAAGATCAAGAAGAACTTGAAGATGAAGCATGACCTGCACTTAAAAAAGATATCACACGGGACTTATGAGGTTTCGTGACATTTTAATATATCTTATAAAGTATCGTAGGGAGCGACGAAACCTTTATCAAGTTTCGAAATCTCGTATAAAACCGTTTATTGGTTCTTCTGGACCAAAAAGCTTTCGTAACGCATCTTCTAGCGATATCATAGACAAAAGTTTTCGCATAGATCAATCTTCTGTTTTATGTCCAGTATGGATAGATATTCACTAATTAGAAACTCGAGCGTTCTAAGTTCATTCTTCCTGTTATCTATTTGCATTCACTCCGCAGTCGATTTTCGATATTGCAGTATTTCATTTAGCCTCCATACTTCGCTATATGAAGTTATACCTCAGCTAATACACAATACTTCATTACATTTAATGAAATTAAGTTGCCAACAATTATCTTCGTCAAAAGTACCATTGAGGCAATCTACTCGTCCATTACAAATATCTCTCCTTTTTAAACATACTGGAGAAGGACCACGATCATAGTTTAAATGAGTATAGCAGGTTAAATTCAGACATTGGACGTAAGTACTTCCGAGTACTTTCTTATTGTAGCAGTAATATTCTTTCATATTTGGATAGTCGTATACCTGTAGGTCTTATTTTACGCATCGCATCAACGGCTACAAAACGGTACACTTTATTTTTCAATTCACATATCTTATTAGCATAAAGAACTAGAAGTACTTTAACAATTTCGACCATTTTTACAATGTGCAAAAAAATGCTAAGTACTTTTTATTTTCTTGACAATATGACATATGAATCGAAAAACAAAGCGTACTGTATTGTAGTCGTTGATATGATGCATAAAATAAGGCCTATAGGTATATTGCTGTCGAAGTATGAAAGAATATTACTGTTACACTAAGAAAATACTTGGAAGTGCTTACGTCCAATATCTGATTAAATTAGCTGGTTGATAAACATCTTCAGCATAATAATCATGAATAATATCATATAAAGATAAATGATTTTTAATATAATAATTAAATTCATATTGATATAGAGAACCAAATCTTGGAAATGTACAATTATAGAAAAGTTTTGTTTCCAGAGATCTATCATTTGATTTTAATAACCGATTCAAATAGAATTGATAATGTTCAACAGTATCAATCAGTGCTGACTAAATGTATAATTGTTGACTAGTAATATTCTCTTTTGAAAGTTCTTCAAATGTAAATTTTGGAAAAATAGTATTTTTCTCGATATAAAACTTCACTGGTGACCCATTCATACAATAAGTTATTATTTCACGACTAACAATTGTTTTATCATTGGAAGCAGCAACACGAAAACAATCATGTTGTAATATATTATTACTCTTACTTTCGTTTACTAAACGTGTATAATGAAGATTTGAGTTGTAGCAAAAATGAAATGTAAGAGAATAAAATTGAACAGAAATCTTACACAAAACATGATTAACTGGTGAATACAATGAGAAATAAATATATTAAAGACTATTTATGATATTCATATACGTCGATGTTTCTTATCATGTTTTCTTTTTCCGCTTTCCGATTTATCAACATCATGAAGACGTAAAAATATAATCATGTATGATTAATCAATTGACATCATTGATATGCATGTATTTTCTAATAAAAATTTAACTTTTATCGAAACAACGTTCATAAAAATAACCATTATTATAAAAAAGAGACCTCTGACAATAGCAATAAATGGATACGAATTGATGAGTAAATATATGAAAAAGAAAGTATTAGACGCAGATAATGTGATAAAATATATCGGTACTCTTTGTGCTTTTGAGAATAGTATGTGCTAAAAAAACTTTTACAAAAAGTATAAAAGATTATTTGAAAAACATCAATGAACATATAGTAAGTCATGCATTGTTTGTGTATGTACACCAATGATAATCATTGGTTAATAGAAAGTAATTACAATTTAAAAATAATATTTTTATTCGACTTCGCTTACTATTTCGTACATATATAACATCTATAGAACGATCAATCACTTTTTAATTCATTTCGTGTCCAATGTTTTTGTGTTCAAAGTGATCCAATTATGTGTAATTTTCTTGATGATTAAAGATAGATTTAAAAATCAGCAGTAATGATTACACTATGATCAAGTAAAAAAAAAACATTTATTCTCGATGGTTATTTGATACGAATCACTTCACAAATAGTTTTCTCCAGAAAAATTAACTCTTTGTTGTCCTGTGATCTTGAGGCGTTATGAAAAATTTTTATATCAACTTAAAAATTATTGAATCCTACCTTCAAAATGCATGCACTCGAATAATGTCATAAGAAGAAAACTTGTTTATTGTAGTTGAGTAATATTGATTGAAATATATTTTCTCGTTTTTTTTTTTTGTTTTTCCTACTGTTATTACTCCTAGTCTGTTTTGAATTTGAGAAATATTTTTTTCTTTACAAATAAAAACAAAATAACGAATCCATTATGTGTCTCATATGTTGCTGCAATATGAAACATGTTTGATCGATCTATTTCGATTGTGAAAAATTCATAATAATAGACATCATCTTGTATTTTATGCAGAATCATTATTGAATTATCAATAACATGAGTACTCAACTTTGCACAGTTCATTTCGCTGCTATGTAAATATGTCATTCACATAAGATTACCTATTCACATCTGTGTTAAAATTTGACAGTTCGACAAACTTATCAGCTCTATAAAATCAGTATTATATGGTGTCTAATATACACAGAAGAAATTTGAAATAAACGTGTTATTTAAAGATAATATATGAAGCAGTCACTGAATTAAATATCAAACATAGAATTTCATAAAGTAAATTAAGTTTTATTTCATTAGATTTCTTAATTGATTATCTTTATTTTTTCTTCTGTCATTAAAGAAGAAAGACCAAGAAACATGATATAAATAATATGATGGTGATTTATCTGAGTATAAGTTTGCAGAAAGCAGCTTGTTTTTTTGTACACGAACTTTTATTAATAAAATCAAAGAACTATAATATCATAAACATCCTATATACATATCACTAAGATTATTCATAAGGTGAATATGTCACATAAATAATTTAATCAGTATAATTTTTAATTGATTTTATGAAAAGTCTTTCTCAAATTGTGTTCCGTAGCCATAGATATAGATTATTTTAATTTTATACTTGATAATTATTTGTAAAGTGATTCTGATATATAGAGACTTTATTGGAATTTGAATAGAAGTTCACCATTGATTAGCCTAAAAATGCCAAATACACGATAATTATGAAAGAACTTCTCTATTTTGGTAATTTTATTGATATAAAATATTTATTGCTAGCAATTAAACCACTTTCCCAGTAAATAGTATACCAACTCTTACATCGACAATATCATCGATTGATGGCGAATCAAATTTTCGAATATTCATGAACTCTTTAGGCACACATTTTCATTAATTTTGCTTATTTCTACAATTAAGAATTTAAAAATAAAAGGACCATTTCATTGCAGGAAGATTCAATGGGGTTTTTATTTATATTCAATTTTTAACTAGAAATAAATTTTATTTAAATATAATTATTTCTGATTTCTATAATGAAGGTCATCTAAAAAGAAAATATTTTTCAATTTGTTTTTTTTTCTTTGAGCTTGTGAACACTTCATATGATTTGTTTGACTTTCTTTCATTGATCGTGTCCTATTGAAAAACTTCAATAATAAAAAGATAGTGACATGCAAATTAATAAAAAATATGAATAATAGCAAAAGACTTCATTGAAATTTAATGGAACACATAGAACGTCTGCAATAAACAAATTGAATATTATATTTGAACCACATGTTTTATTAAATTTCTAGTTTTTCTTTCTACAAAAGAAATTTAAAATATACGTTCCAAAAAAAAAACGTTAGACTCTATACTTTCAGTATATACTTCATTGAAAAAATTTGCTAGAAAATTTCAAGGCTTTATCAAAATCAATGATTAGTTTTTCAAAAAAAAGTTTTTCACAGTGAAAATAGTAAAGGATAGGATCTGTTTATTCACAAATCGATCCTAAATAATAATCTCTTCAGAAATCAGTTCTGTCTTGAAAAATAATGTTTTCTTAGGACGAACATTTTGTGATATACGCATGGGATCTTTGAGAATTTTGAAACAAGAAAGTCATCCGTTAGGGATAAATCTTGAAGTAGAACTTAAAATTTCGTCTTCAGTTCAAGAACTCGACTTTTATTACTCGATTGCTTAATATTCTTACTCATGAGCTTACAATATGCTGAAGTATCTGAATTCTTTTCTGCCATTTCAGTAGCTTCTACCAAATAGACATCGCTAGTTGTTTATCGTGTCGATGCCGGTTGCTCTGGAGATGATAACCCTTCAGTTACCTACAC